GCTTTCTGTTGCCCGGGGCACAGTGACAAGTGGACTCTGCTTGGCGATATTCGGTTGAGCTATTATGGATTGACCTGGTGGAATTGGAGATGGGAAGAGTGTAGTTATACGGATTGTGTCTACTCATTTTCCGAACAGCAACAATGTCAAGTATTGTTTGCTCTCCCTGATTGTGGTGAAGTGGAATGTTGGGATCTGCGGGACCCCTTGTCCCCGAGATTGATCAAGACTTACGAGAAAGAACCCCAGAATCCGATTGAAAAGTTGGAGCCTCCCGGAGCAGAAATTTTTAAGGAGTATGTGGTGATTGCAGGGCAGGATGTTCTGATGGTGTCGCAATACGGGGTGCATACTTCAGGCCATTTAAGATTGAGCGATGGTGAAACGAATCCTGACTACAACTACATGACTGTTGATTTCGATGTTCATAGATATGATCCTGATGATTTGGATCATCCAAAGTACGTGGAGGGCTCGTCCCTGGGTGGTTGGGCTATTTTTGTTGGCCTCAGCAGCCACGGGGTTGCATTGCCAGCGGCAGAGTTCCCAGAGCTGAAGCCAAACTCCATTTACTTCACGGATCCAACAGTGTTGACGCAAGTTGAGAAATGCGTGTGTGGTGGCCATGACATTGGTATATTCAATTATGAGGATAAGACTGTGTCACGGTGCTATTATCCGAGTGATGTTAGAAAAATCTTCCCGGGACCTATGTGGTTCTTCCCCGACTCAAAATTGAATTAATTCAGTTCTATTGTTTTTTATATATTATATGGTGATTAATCTTTTGATCTCCAGATAGTGTAGGGCATGTGGATGTTTAAGTCTATTGTGAACATGGTTTTGCTGTCTTTCCAATAATCTTGTGGATTTATGTATATAGGAGTAGATAAAGTAATCATCCATAGCAAGTGCAGGCAGCACCGAGGTCTGCAAATAATGGTGAAACAGAACTTAGCATCTGCTATACAATAAAACTATTATTCACATAACACAAAAGAAAACAAAGAGACAGCACATTATATGACTTGCATCATCACTAGTGTTGCAAATCTATTTCTCCAAGTAATACAAAGTGAATCGCATCGATCGACTGCTGGACCACGTACATACTAAAGCTCAACAACACACAACTACTAGCCTACTACAACAAACAAATATTAACCACAATCAAACTAAGCCAACCATCCAATTACTTTAGCATACGGCAGTCAATAGTAATGTACTTGGAGTGATTCAGCCACAGGGCATAAATCATCAGCATCACTTAAAACAAAAACTAACCCAAAACAAAAGAACAGTTGAAAGAAAAAAACCCAGAAGTCTACGTGTTCTTTTTCTCGGTTTCCTCCGCATGCGGCGCCTTTTCCTCAGACGCAGGTGGAGCCTCTTCCTCAGACGCAGGTGGTGTCTCTTCCTCGGTGACCCGCGGCGCCTCTTCCTCAGCTGTAGGAGGCGCCTTTTCCACCGGCGCCAGTGACTTCATCTCCGGCGCCGCTGTTGCCGCCGCAGCCATCTCCTCTTTCTTTTTCTTCTTCTCCGCTTTGTTTTTCTTATGCTCCTCTTCCGCCCGAATGCGAGCGTCGTCTCTTAGCGCTCGCTCAATAGGGGTAAGACATTTATGGTTTTTCAACCTCTCCGAGTCGATAAAATAGTGAGTACACTTCCGACACCAAAACTTATTGGCGACAATTTCGGCGTGTTTTTTGTCCCAATGTTTATTAAAACCCCCTTTCGTCTTGAATCGTTTGTCACATTCCCCACACATGTACGGGCCGCCATCCCCTCTGCCTCCTCTCGGTTTTCTCTTACACTCCACTTGAAATAAACACAACAACAACACAAAAATAATAATAAAAATAATAATAATAATAATAATTATATACTTTAAAATTTTAATCGACTGGGATTTTAAAATGAAATAAACACAACCAAATAAAATAAAAAAAAAAAAAATTCTTACGTAGAAAACTTTAATTAATTAAAAAAATAAGACATACCAACAAACTTCTTCTTCTTCAACAAGGGAACTAACATCATGCCTCCAACAAACTTCTTCTTGCATGGAAATAACAACAACATGCCTCCAAATGAAACTAATTTTGGAGGATACTTCACTTGAAATAAATTGCCACCTCCAACTTTCTTAAGTGAAATTAATGCTGTAGCAAGTGGAAATAATAGTGCCATTATAAGTGCAAAATAGAGAGCTTAGAAATTTTTTCATAAAGTAGAGTGAAAAAGTTGCAAGTGTTATACCCACATATATGTATATAATAATAATAATAATAATAATAATAATAATAATAATAATAATAATAATAATAATAATAATAATAATAAAAGAATATTTGTTCTTGAAATTAATTTAAAACAAAAAATAACACAAATTAACTCTATAACAAAATAATGAAAAATAAAAACCAATTGAGCTGAAAAAAGCATGTGTGTCTTGAGTATGAGTGTGTATAGTATACACATATATAGAGATATCATGGATAAAGTATATTTTGCTTTCACTAGGAAATTATTATTATGTATAATAAAATGTCACTTTCACTTCTCACTTTTCACTAGTTAAATTAAAAATAAATAAATAAATAAATAAATAATCTTTGTCTTTTTTGCTTGGTACTTTGATTTTTGCCCATTAAATTATGAGCCATATATACTTATTAAATTCGTGCATTCAAGAAAGGAATAAATTAAGTGTATTAATGGATATTTTTCCAGAAGTTAAGCATTAAATAAAGTAATAAATTGGCTCATTAATGGAAATTTTTTCCAAAAATAACCATACGACATTTGAGGTTATGCATTGAGGTGCTTTGTGGTTAATTCAGCTCAGTTGTGTGAGCATTGGTGCATATATATACGAAGACAAATTAAGTTGGGCGTCTTAATTGGTCAACCCCTCATAATTACATATATGTTTGAAATCAAACTATTTTAATTTAATTTATTGCACCAAAAAAAAAAAAACAATTTTAATTTAGAGTTTAATTGATATATCAAACATGAAGCTTTGGGTTTATATATAAATAATAAACTTTTCATTTATAAATTAAAATATAATAATTAAATTTGATTTAAATATACAAATAACAAAACACTGATTAAATAAGATTGATACACTACAAAAAAAACTCTTATATTGCAACGAAAATTTTCCGTTAGAATTCTTTATATTTTCCGTTGGAATAGCTTTTCCAACAGATATTCCTATGTAGTCACAGTGAAAACATATATATACGTATAATATATAATAATTTCAATCATTAACATGTAACACAACGCATATATCCATGTCAAAACTTGAAATGGAAATAAACAAAAAAGGGGCACAAAAACAAATCCATGCACATAAAGGTGCAAGCAAAAAGCATATGCTCTCATAGTTCGAACGAATACACATAAATATATTCCCCTGCCCACGGTGGACAGTGCCCACTAATTTGTTTTATATGAAAAATGTATTCTCAAAATACGTTTTTCATATAAAACAAACTAATGGGCACTGCCCACCGTAGGCAGGTGAGCGGGACTGCGAATACACATACACTACTGATTTGCTTCTTTCACATGTACACTGATCAAAACTCAAAAGTAATAACTTCGGAGCCGAACGTTGTACACAGTGAAAAATAGTAGTAATAATTTCGGAGGCGAATGTTGTACACAGTAAAAATTAGTAGTAACTTCGGAGCCAAAAGTTGTACAATAAAAATTAGTAATAACTTGAGAGTTGTACATTAAAAATTGACTAGTGGGTATAAAATGGCCTCATTGGTAATATATATGTATATGTTTTTAATTTCTTTTATTCTTCTATTTTTACCAACATAATAATTGATCTAAAACACATTTAACCCAACATGATTAAAAAAAATGTTAATTAATACAATAAATAATTATGGAATTAATTTAAACTTAAATGAAGATTAATCTATTGACATTTGTTAGTGAAAACATTCAAATAATACTCGTTGGAGGTAATGAGTTTACATTTAAAATATAAGGGTTGATATGCAATTTGCAAAACACATAAATGAATGAATAATTTTTTTTGTTGAGAAATATATAAAGTGTTTATTTTTAATTTGTGTTAGTAAAATTACACATAAAAAAAATGTGAGGGTAGATATTTTTTTATGAAAACAATTGTTTAATTTTATATACACACATATCCATGCAGGGGCGGAGCCACCGTAAGGCTAAGGCTGGGCTCCAGCCCCATGTAATTTTTTGCTACCTTTATTTTTGCTAATCCTATTTTCCAAAAAAAAATTTATACATAGACTAAGCCCCATATAATTTATTATATAGCTCCATTTAATTTTTGGGCTGAATGACTCGAGATTATCTTCATGTTAAAATTTGTTATCTGACAACAATGGTAGAAAAATGATGATTATAGTGAGGAAAAAAGATAATTATTTATTGTCAAATGACAATTGTGACCTTATTAGATTTTTATCAATTGAGTTTATAATGTGGTCCAACACACTCTTGTCTTTTAAATTTTTAATGAGTTGACTTGACAAATATCAAATGAGCTGGATAATTAAGCTTGACACAGACTTCTCCAGCGGGCTGTTTAATTCGATTCGTCACATTCCACATTCTGTTATCCATTTTTATTTTTTTTTTTCTTTCGCCTCCAATAATTAATTCGACATCATTTCCTAGACAAAGAAAAAACTCGTACAGAGTTGATTACAAACATGTTTGACTTTATTTGTTTGATCGACAAGTTCGATTAGCTATTTGAGTTTGGCTCGATTCGAGATTGAGTTTTTCCAATTCAAACCGACATATGTTAGCAGATAATTTGTTAATAATCATAACCAAAACCAGTTACAGGCCGAAACCGTCGATACCGGGCCGAGAGTTGGAGGACCCTGAACCGACGCGAACATATGTACGGGTCGGTTCATTGAATTGTCGATTACTGGTCGTCCGGTTCATTAAAAAAAACAAAACAATTATAATAATATTTAAAAAAAACGAACCTCGGGTTCCGGTTCCAGTTCGGAACCAAAACTGCATGTTCAAAATGTATAAACTATAAAGTATTGTACATGAACCGAATTGGTCAAAACCACGGGTTTGTTCAAGACTCATGGTCATCGGGTCTGCTTGTGTCGGTTTGGACCGAACCGACATGCTGGGTCGGCCTATGACCATGTTCCAATAATAGCTACAATAATATGCAGCCCCAGGTTAAAAAAATTTCTGGTTACGCCCCTGTATCCATGCCTAACATCTAAAATGGAAAAAAAATAAATAAAAAGGAAGCACAAATGCACAATTACAACCCCATTTCACAAAAACGGTATAACCGTTGCAAATTTATTGTCAATAAGAATTGTTACCATTGTTGTAACTTGTAAGTATAGTTTGGTATCTATTGGCACATGACGTTGCTTCTCATTATGACGATAAAAAAAACAAAACTTATTATGTCTGAACAATATAAACTTTTCAAAATGCATGCACACCTGTCAGCTCCTGGCATTTTATGTGGCATTGACTTTTTTTTTTTTTTTTTTTT